GAACTAGGGAACGATTGCTACTAATGCTAGGAAGGTGGTATGTGCTATAGGTAAATTGTGTTCAATTGGTTGGACAGAACAACTTCGAAAAACTGATCGATTGAATAAACTTTTGACGTGCCTATAGACACACGTCGCATGATTTTATTGATATCTAATTTTATTCTAAATTTTGGAATGAAATAGAATTTCTTAATTTAGTTTTTATTTACCTACTTACACTTATGTGGTAAGTTACTTCGGTCTGTGCACTGCACTATTTATTCTATGACACCGCAATGCATCTTCAGTATTTAGAGTCTGTTTTTTAAGGGGGGAAAATCATCGAATGACTGCTCCCGCCTGGGCGAGGCAGGAGGGAGTGTCAGACTCTTACCGACTAAAAACCACTTCTCCTGCACGTCGAGCCGGAGCCCCGGTAATCCGTTAGATTCTCCGCGAGTATTTAGAGGCTTCGAGCTGAAACTATTTCATGTTTCCCATATTTCATTTTCTCTATATAGATTTCATACAAAAGAAATTTGCGGTTTCATCTCCTAATTTTTTAAATACTATACTTTTCTTTTCTTCCAAGCATTTTTTTAAATCTTCACAAAGCAACATGCATTTTCATAACAAATTATATACATATCACTCAATCTCCAAAGCAATTACCTACAATGTAGAATAGTTACAAAAAAGAGGAACATTCTGTTATCTCTTAACATTCGCGTTGGTGATAAATGATAGACTCGCGTCAAATGAAACGTGACAGAGAACTGTCAGTAATGATACGTTGCCAAGTGTTGCGGACGCCTGCAAGTGGGTATGTTGGAGTTAACTGTGACACTGAGTATGATGTACAGAAGATTTACTCTAGCAAAAAGATTGATTAATAATGGCAAACTTCTCTTATAAAAGTGTGATTCATTGGTAAATCTGATAAAGATCCAAGAAACCTATTAGTAGATAAGACTCAAATCAAAACATCTTCATTGAGCACAGATTTAAGAACAATAACATATTCATATGCAATTTCTCGGGTCTCATAAATAACGTAGTAAGTAAAACATATTTTGTTTCTTTTACAATAAGGTAAATACTTAGGTAAATAATTATCATCTTACATTACTTAAACTGTCAAACACCAAGCGGTCACCGGTGACCGCAACCTATTGTTCTATAATTGTGTCTACAAAACCGGTACTCGACGTGTTAAGCAGTTCCTCGACTCAGAATAATTTCGAGAAAGCAATCAGACTAAACCTTCTTTATCCACTTGCGTACGAATCATGGTGTAAACAGAATCGCAATTGATATTCCATTATGATAGTAGTTGCGGCAGTTACATTACACCTGTTCACCGTGTCAGTAAGGTTGGCTGCGTTCTTTCTTACGTCATATGGGTTCTAACTAGAGGTTCTTGTACGCGATTGGTTAAGAAGGCCTAGAGCAAGTTTTGTAATCGGACGCTATCATGCTTGCGTTTATGAGCATCCAATTATTATGGGCAGAAATAAAAAAACCTACAGCGATGATAACAATAACGAGTTGTGTGGTCCTGGCAGATTAGAATACATTTCATCTATCATAATAGTACCTACTACATTAGAATCAGGGTAGGCTGCGCGACATCGCTGCTCATGAGGAAGAACCCCTCTGTAGTTCGAAACTAGTAGAGCTTTTCTCAGTATATTCACGTGAGTAACCCGCGATTTTTAGTTAATTTAGTATGTCTCACGATAGTTATTATAAAAACATAGAATACATTTATTTGTAGGCCTACTCTTCCTGTGGGTATTTTAAAAATTGAATAGGGACAAGTGAGATTGTAGCATATCCTCTTTTGCTGTAGATGAGTACCATACCCCAGGAGTGGACTGTCGTGGATGATGCTGATAACGATAGTAAAAAAAAGAAATCTTGAATCGTTAGTATTGTCTGGAACCAGTCCATTGATTTCGAACATATTTTCTATATAAGCAAGCTTCTGAATTAACATTAAGAAGTACTACCAGCCACTACCAGGGTATCATATTCTAATAGAAGCAATTCAACCTACAATCAATTTTCCTCCCATCTGCCACGAACTCGTGAATAACGAATTTATAATTGAATCTTTATTTCTGTCTGTCAAACCAGTTTCAAAATGTTTCGTCTTTGTTTTTATAATTGTTGAAGTTCGTCGAATCGATTATGTTTGTACCACAACACCCGGGTGGCTTCACATGGCTCCTAATAAATCCCTGTTGGCATTTTAAAAGTAATTATGTATAATTTAAGGAGCTTCGATAAGTACTTGGAATTCATAAACTGCTTTCCTCTCGACAATTATTTATTTTGTCATTTTATTAGGCTGACCTTCTTGTTTCCCATGCCGTAGTAAGGACAATAAGAGCGTTTTTCCCTCAAACATTTCTTGCAAATATAAAAAAAAGAATTCTCTGCAAAATAACTACATCAGAAAATTCTTAAACCTACAAATAGCCTTACGGATCTTATGCTGCACTAGCGCCACTCGCAATGCAAAAATGTTCGTTGGGTAATTGAATAATTAGGTGGTTCGTGTAAGATTACTATTTATTAATTTAGCCAGTCTTAATGAATTATCTGTTAAACCAGTCGTAAAAAAACGTTTATAAATAAACACCAAAGTATCTAATACTTCCTATCTTCCGTACAAACTTAACGAATTCAAAATACGACTGAATTACAAATACCTACAAAATATCGTACACATGTCTCAAATTTAAGTGCAAAATAAGCACAAACTGGAAACACGAATCAAGTTTCGCTATCCTATTAAACAACATATTTTACTTACTATTAAAAATATGCAAAAACAATAATTTCGTATTCATCATCGATTCAAATCGATTGTGTAAGTAGAGTTGCGCAAGACAGTTGGCATCGAATCGATTAGAGTCGGTCGAGATTTGATATCGACGTGCTTGGAACATGGACTTCCGTTCATGGAATTTTGTGGGATATTGACATGGAAACACACATTTCCAATGGCACATATATTGAATGCGGACATAATGTATGACGCAGTAGGTGTCTACCACTGACGTAGGTAAATGCTGGGGAGTTCACGGGCCAATGTAAACAAATATTAAACAAAGATTATTACGAAAAGGAATTTCTAATGGTTGCATTTTATGGTGACTGGAAATACAAAGCTATCATGGAAACACCAAAAACTGAGATTTTTATGTTCTATTTAAATTTAAACCAAGCTAGACTAAGCACAGACATCATGCCCCAAAGCATCGATCCTTTCCTTCCACTTAGGGTCAATCCCAGATGCTTCTTAATTTTACGTCGCTTTTGGTGTTTTTCATCATTACTGGCGATTCATCAGCGTAGCTTCCCTTGTTTAGGTTGGTGACGTCATCATCGCTTACCACCAGGCGAGATAGTGGTGAAACGTCGGCCCATCAAATATATAAAAAGAAAATTTATAAATATAAAATATAATATAAATAATTTGTACTTGTAATTTGTACTGAAAACCAAAGCTTCAATAGTTTTGTCTTGTAGTATCAATATGTAATGTACCTAACGGCAAAATATAGGTGAAAATGATAATATCAGAAGAAGATCGTCATTTAGTTGAGACGGTCATCTGCTGAAATGGTTGAAGAAGAAGAAAAGAGAATATATTTTAGGTATAGTAAAACATCACAAAACCAGCCTAACTTTTTAATCGACGTCATATTCTTAAGTAATTTATAAGTAAACACACAGTAATGAAAAAACTTGAACGTCAGACTATTATTATGACAGTAGTTAATGTTTGAGTACAAACACTGCGATGCAACGTACGAACAATAGCGGATTATTTAATTGACGCCACGTGTCGTGAATCAGAAACATTATGTATCTTTGTTACACCTGTTGTAAGCACTGCCTTGTTGGGGACTCAGGACATACCGAGTGGTGTTACTCCATTGATATGATGGTGTCAGGATTAGTAGGTCATAAGGCTTATAAGGATTAGTAAGATAGTGAAAGTTATTCATAATTAATTTGTTTTGCAAGGTCAAAGAACTCATTGGTGGATTAACGAAAGGTAAGTAGGTCATAAAAACGATCTGCAAAGTTTACTTAGAAAGAACTAATTTATCCAATAGGAAATTAATGATTGGACTGTTACGTTTGCGTGGGATATCATTAAAATGTGTCACTCACTAAAATGAATAAAACTTTAAAAAGTGTATATTTAAAAGACGTATACGTCCATTAAATCATTAATTAAACAATTGAAGCTCAAAAACAGCAAGAAGTTAATAAAACTGCAGCAAATATAACCTGTTTGAACTAAAGTCCGTAAAAGGACCTTGAGACGAACATGAATGCAATGTGTGTAGATGAAATTTAATGACAGACCTCTGGGAAAACCATTGTAGCTCGCGGCAGCGCCAGGATGTTGAATTAGACGGTGCACCGCGTGCGTAATCGTATTAGACTTGTTGCAATCACATCAGTGATGCGAATATGTACACCATAAGTGATACAGACGTAAATAATTAAATCGTTACTAGCGAGTATTATGTATATTACTGTAGTTTGTATTTTAAAAAGACTGCAGAACATACAAATTTATTGGATTATAAACTTTATTGCTATTAAAATAAGATATAATTGCAAAAGGAAACTGGCTTTTTGGAAAGCCGCAATTTCTTAATAGCAGCAGTCCAATAAATTACATTTGGAACAATAAATACATTTATAAATAAAATAATACACTCATGAGTAAAGAAAGAGATATTATTATAATCGAAAGCCTTCAATTTTATGTATACTTTTAATATTATAACAAGTTACTTCCGGCTTCATTTAGTTAAATTAAACTGACAATATTTCTTATTTTTAAGGTAATTTTATTATAATTATTTTTATTGACTTTAAAATCTGCAAATAATACGAAATAGGTAATTAGGACGTATCAAGTTGCATCGTATTAAGACTATGTGCAAGAGGCATAACTTTTCATTAACACCATGTCTTTTCCGCAGATACGGAACCAACTTCATATACAGCTGAAACTGACCTGAACACCTGTAAGACCTAATTTTAATTCTTTGCTTGTACAGTCAGCATATCAACTGGATCAAATCCATCTTACTACATATGTATCTAATTTTGGGCTTAACAAAACAAAAATAGAATTCTAAATGAAGTAGATAGAGGAAGTCTGAATTTCTGAAAGTAGTGTTAGTTAAAGGGAAGCTGAAACGAAGTGAGAGCTGAATTTAAATGTAGAAGAATGGAGATTGGGCCATGTTAAAATTAAAGAGAATTAAAAGTCTTTGTTGGTTTGGTAAAATTTATCAACAAATACTTTTCTAAATTAATTTAAATAACGGCTAACTCACGTCAATACACTGAGAAAAGCTCTACTAGTCTCGAGTCACAGAGGGACTTTTCCTCATGAGAATCGTGCGCGGCGAAGTTTTATGTCTCACGATAGTTATTCTCCAAATAAATAGGGTTAATTTTCATACCTATGTCTTTTTACCACGGATAAATGAATGAATGAAATCCATAATGAGGGAAAAAAGAGGACATATTGTTTCTAAGTTCCACCCCATCCAGTTTGAAGAAAAGATGATCAATGAGGCAATTCATATAGAAAAAACATGTCAATTGTTGTAATTATTTACAATCTGCTAGGCAATTCTGGAACTGTTGATTCGAAATTTCAAAGTAAGCTCGATTGCATTCTCTCCCGTCATTGGTCAAGGTTATTCTCACAACCAATGACATGGCGGCCCGCAATCAGGTTCACTTCGATCTATCAAATTGAAACTTACAGAATAGCTGTACCTAAGTAACCTAAGTTTACACATTTCTTATCGTTCTCAAGGCTTTTGTTGCAACTCTTTAGTGCTTGTCTGTAAATGTAGCAGCGATATATTATGTAATGAGCATACAATGTGGGAAATTGACACGAAATATTTGACTGCGGATGTCCGGGGTTTTGAATGTAGGAGTCTATTTTGAGGTGAACTGGTACATGTAATTAAGTGTTTGTATAAAGAGTTCTATGAGCATTTCGTAGTGGTATGTTGTGTGTGTATTTGGTATACTCATTATGCATACTGTAAAATAGTCTGAAATAATATTTCAATGATACTAATATTTAACGATTTTATCATGCTTTTGTTTGCATCTCAGTTGCCACTTAGATATTAATTGTTGATTAATAGAAATAGAAATAGAAATAGAAATTTATTCGCAGGAACATGTGATACAATGGATCTTAGTCTAATTTTCAACAGTACAGTGTATTCCACCTTTTCCAGGCATGCAAATGTTTGTTTATAGTATGCACTTTATATAACATAGAATATAAATCCAATTTCATTGATTAATTATTACGTAATGTCAAAATAATGATTCCAAAATGTCAAATTAATTTTTTAAATACATGTCAAGGCAAAATACATTATGTCAAATATATTATGTCTGTAAAATTACATGTCATAATATTAAAATCTATTTCGTTCTACAATTCCATAGTCAATGAAGTCTTTAATACTGTAAAAACATTTTTCAATTAGCCATGCTTTCAACTTAATTCTAAATTGACGCAAAGGTAGTTCTCTAATAGATCGAGGAATTTTATTATATACTCTAATTGCCATTATTGCACAATTCTTGCCATAAAGAGTACTGCGACAATTATCCATTTTTAGTTTGGATGCATCTCGTTGTATATGCTTACTATCTTCATTCACTCTATTAAACAAGTTATAATTTCTTACAAACATACCAATCTCAAAAATATACAGAGATGCCAAAGTCATAACGCTCAGCTTTATGAAAAGCGGTTTGCATGTCTCTAATGGTCCTACTCCACATATAGCCCTAATGCATTTTTTCTGAACTACGAATGCTCTGTCTATATCACATGAATTGCCCCAGAACAACAGGCCATACCTTAACACAGAGTTCACATAACCGTGATACGCCAATAGCGCTGAGCTTTCATTTGTCGTTTTGCGTAGTTGCCTAAGTGCATACACAAATCTATTTAATTTCTTGCAGACATTTTCTACGTGTAGTTTCCAATTACAGTTTTCGTCTAGTATAATACCCAAGAATTTAATATTGTTATCTTTAGAGACCTATTGACCTGAATAACTGATATTTAGCCTGGGTGGTTTACGCTTATAATTAGCAAACTGAATATATTTAGTTTTGGAGACATTAATTTCCAAATCATTGTCCTGAAGCCAGTGTATAATGGCCTCCAAAATCTCATTTATTTCCTTAATTAGCTGATTTTTTAACATCGGTAATTTACGTAGTGAAATATAATTTCTAACATTTTCAAACTTTATTAGATACCTACCACTATTGAGTTGCGAATATTGTCTAAAATAAAACATTAATTTTTGAATGTTTATTTGGTCATCTAAAGTATCATCACTGTTAATCAGTGTACAAAAGCCATACAATCCACTATCCACTCCCTGACCTGCGCCAACAGCCGCTATCGCAGAGATCTGTGCAGGCGCAGCCGTGCCGGCCCGTGCCATACGCTAGTAATCAATTTCATTACACAGCTGTAGTACAGTAATTAGATTTGTATGTGGATGTTATTGTGAGCTAAGGTCATGGCGCTGAGGAATTCAAGGTTTGATGTCTTCAAGGTAAAGAGGGTGTTGCTTTTTGATGGGATATAGAAGACTGAAGCAGCTGGTTTAAATTGTTATGTGTAAGAGTTTATTTTGGTTTCAAATGGATCATTTGTAGGTACTGCAGAAATCATTATCTTTGTATAGGATTTAATCGTATAAACATAGATAGTTTTACAGCATATTTTATTTGATTGTGAACCATATCGGATATTTTTTCAACTCGTAATTGTAGTTTTTCAATTGTTCCGGCTTTTTGTTCGGAATGATAGTCAATTAAAAGTTTGTAAACAAAGAGTTCTTTAGAAACAGAGTGATGGAATCGTAGTAAAGAGTACGTTTGAAAATGACCCTAAACCTTTACTTTACTTACTCAAAGTGTTCGAACAGGAATGATGAAACAAATTACCCAAAGGGCGCGTCTGATTGAGCTTGAAATTTATCACTGCTGTGAAGGCTACAAGTGGATTTGGTTGCAACCTTTTGTTTTGACAGGTGGAAATCTTGTTTGGCAAATAATTGGGAATACGGATTATTTCATAGAAGTTTTGACTTGAAGCGTAACTTGGAACCTTTAAGCTGAAAGTTTATTTATATGTGGTAAAAATATGACTCTTCTGTGTGTGTCTCGAAGGAATGTTGATCTGTCAGCTAGTTTGCCTCTATTTCCACAAAATAAAAATAAATGTTTATCATTATGGGCGAACAGAACCGAGTATCAAATCAACCTGAAGTATTTCTTAAAACTACATTTTCTGTGCGCTGAATTGCAAATTATTTTCCAATAGAAAGAGCTGAAATGAGGGAAATTGATTACGGTGGAGACGAGATGGGCTACCGACCGGCGCGACCAGTTTCTAGCTGGGGCTTTATACAATCTGTTAATGCATTACGTGCCTGCACAGCATTGGTATCACTTTTATTAAAAAGTGGCGGATATAAGCGGACTATCATCAGTGTAATCTTTGCATTGAATAACAGAACACTATCAAAGTGCAACGCCTGAATACTGAGACGCCACTCAAATGTAATTCTGTCACTTCAAATTTTTTGGAAAAAATTGACAGACATTGGTCAAAATTTAAGTACAATTTAAAATTGAATAGCTTTTCAATATTCGGGTCCAAAACTAATACAAAAATTAGAGAAAAGAAAAACATTTCTATAAGCCTTTAGCTTAAATCTTCCAGAAAAGAGCGTAGTACTTTTTAAAAGGTCGACAAAGTACCTGTGATCATCCATCAGGTGATCCACAATCGATGATCGGGTGACGGTGGGCTGCTCGTTTGCCTCCTATTCCATGAAAAAATACTTAATTAAAATATGATGTCTCTTAATTTTTTGTAAACGTTCTATAACGATTTCAATTAATTTAAACAGGTATTCCCCAATTGCTTGGGTAGGCAACTAAAAACATCCGCAAAACATCGCATTTAATTTTACAAAATCTATTTTCGATATCATCAAACGTGTTATATTATATCCATAACTTACAGACATTTATAAAAAAAAAACACTATTATGTATGTATATGTTTTGATGAAGTCACCATCTTGTATTCTGACGTTTTATGATTATATAAACAGTTGCAAAAATACTGTTCTATTCATTAAAATAAGCAAACTGATGTGTCGACAGATGTTTTTATGTAAACTACCGAACGTTCAGAGATTGGCAATTGTATTGAAATACCTAAATCTCATAACTGAAGAATAGAATTACAGCAAATTGCTGGTTTGATATTGCAAAAAGCAATATTGATGGGCAAAAAATTGGCAGTCGTTAGTTCTGTAATGGAGATTGATTCTATACAGAGAGCAGTGTGTTCTTTGAACTGAGTAGTTGTTGTTTATTGTATTTGCTCTTATCAGATGGCGCCACTGTCGAGAATGGTCTTGTGAGTTTAATTAAAATAGTTATAATTGATTTACTGACAACAAGCTACTGATTTGGAGATTTGAGTATTCACATACGATACGTTATGTTACGTTCTTATCTTCCAGAAACTAACATCTTTCTTATACAAAAACAATTGAACTATGAATTTGGTATTGTATATTCTACTAGATTCTGCCCGCGACTTCGTACGCGAAATTCTGTTTCTCCCATTCCGGTAGGATTTTCACTGCCTCGTTGGCCGAGTGGTCGCAAGTGCTTATTACAGTATTTCTAAAAAAAAATCTCAGTAGCAGCACGGAGTCTGGAATTGTACCCGATTTATGGTAATAGGCTCACCCCCTCTTATATGGGACTCATAAATAACATAAATAGTGAAAAAAAAAAATTACATTGTACAGTGGCATAATGTGCACCTCTGTGTACCCCTAAAAAAAAAAAAGGCGTGATGTTATGTTATAGATGGTATTCAATTAGTCTGATAACATGCAGTTGATATGCACTTCAAGAATGATCTTACGTAACTCAATGTATAAACCACATACATACATTGAATTTTTATCCGTCTCTATGTCTTGCTACAAATTGCATAAAAGAACAAAATGCTTGACAGACAATGGATCTTTGTGTCTGTAACATAAATTGAATTAATTACACATACAAGTGTCTATCAAATCGTGGAATGAGACCTTTGTATTGTCGGCACTATATAAACAACCATGGGCATTTACTTCCGAAGGTGAATGCTACTCAAGGAGTATTTAATAAGTGACTGTATGATGTTACTAAAGAGCAGGGTTATGGAGCCAAAATGGCATAAACACTAGTCGAATCAAGTGCATAGAAACATTACTAACTTCTGAAAGGTATTGTCAAAGATGATGTACACACATACATTGAGTGATTGAACTAAAGTTAATATATCTGCTAACTCCTCAAGTAGGGCCATTTTATTGTGCCCTGTACAAGTTTGTTGTTTATTATATGATTAAAGGGATTTACTTTGAAGGAAGTGTGTGTGAGAATACCGAATATGACATTTAACTTATTTGTGAAAATCCCAATAAAATTGGTCCAGGATTTGGTACTTGTTAAACTGTAATGTTAAGTACAACAGTTCAAAAGATGGGAAGACGATATAAGAACAATAGCAGGAAAAACATGGACTAGAACAGCGCTAAACCGAGCAGAGTGGAAAGAGATGGAGGAGGCCTTTGCCAAAGCTGGGCAAACAGACGAATTTGTTGGTGTCAACGACTCACCAGAGTCACAATTGCAAACTATTTTAATGTAAATACTTTGTCTGATTAAAGGCTTATATTATATTATATTATTAATGTTAAGTACGGATGTATTTTGAGTTTCCTTTCGTATTGTCACAATTACAATGTATGTGTTAGTATTAAAGGTATACTTACCTAATAAGGCTCTTTGTTAAACACTACCTACTTGATGTTTGTCCATTGTTAAAAGTATGACGAGAAGCAATTGTTTCACGTAATTCGGCATGTTTTCACATCATGGATGATTAAGTCTACAGCTGTTAGCTAATTAAGATCTAGACTAGTTTAAAAAAGAAAGTAGAACTGTACGGGAAAAGGAAATGTCTAGAGGAAGTATGAGTTTCGATTTTTAGCAAGTACGAGTGATTCATTGGCAGTCTATGTTGGTTTTATTGATCGTTTTATATTTGAATTATTATTGATCATATTTTATCTCTGAAGATATATTTATGTATTTATTAAAGCAGCGTCAACATTAAAGTAGAGGACTTCTATTAAAAGATTTTATTTCTTTAGTTTTTAACTTCCTTTAATAAAGCGATAGTTATAAAGTGGACTCCTACGGAGCTAAGGGAGCACGGAACGTGTGGTTGGGGCTTCGGCTCGTAGACCGGGGACACTAGGAATGGGGTGGTTTTTAATCGGCAAGAGTCTGTCACTTCCTGTTGCCTCACCCGGGCGGGAGAAATGATTGGAGAATTTTCCCCACTTAAAAAAGGCCGTTGAAGACTCTTGGTGACAAAATAACAAACTAAACAATATAAGAATATCTTAGTTTAGGTACTGTTTCTGAAGAATTTTGCTATATACTTATTCTGTCTCACTCTTTATCGGTTGATTAAGAAGACATTTATTTTACACAACATTAAAAAGAAATTAATGTAGCAATAATTGAAATGAAATAATTAACGATAAAAATAAATAATTAAATACCGACTGTACTTGTGGACGTTTAAAAATAAAACAACATAATTGTCAATTGGTTGTCTATGGCTCACTGACCATAGAGGTTACTTTTGAAATAAAAAAGTGCGAAGGGCGTTGGTTGTTTAGAAAAAAAGAAGTTGAAGATTTTAAAAGTGATATTGCGAATTTGTAAGATGAGAGACTTGTGAATTGTGCAGACATTGATTTTGATTAATGATGATCTGACCTTCATGATCTGAATAAAACATTAGGGTTGAATCTGTTAAAGGGGCTAATATCCGTTTTCTACTCATGTCCTTGATCTTGTAAAGGTTAAGAAATCACTGGAACTTAATAGATTTCGGTACACAAATTAATTTTAATTCTTCGAAGCTTTCCCATACCTTAATAGTTTTATAAATACATGTTATTAAACACATGAAGAAATTCTTAATGTTGTGTAGGTGTAAGATGTATAAGTGGGTGAAGTACTATAAAAACAATACCCTTCCTACAGTCGGGTAAAATGTAGGTGTCACTTACTAGTTAGTAGTACTATGAGACATTATTTATGACTAATACAAATTGTATGTAGGAAGTGACAGGTCGTTCACCATTGTAGGCGAAAGTTCTGGAGATATTTTTCATAAATTTTAGCTTTAAGGAAATCGTACGTATGTAATCGTATCTAATCTGAAATCTTAATCGTTTTTAATTGATTACTGATTTAAGCTGCATTTGATCCAAATTAATCGTGAAAGTGTGATGTATGATAACTTTAATGTTAACACCATATTTACAAATTTTTTGTTGAGATTGGGTTGCTTGACAGTCTTGCTTGATGTTGAGGTAATTGCTAAGACTTTAAATAAAATTCTCTATTCGAATAACATATTGATGAAAATCAATCAAGTCTCTTTTAGTGGAAAACAGTAAGTAATTCGATAACAGGTCGTTACCAGGTTCAATAACAAATCACCGATCAATTGCACGCTTTCAGTGCAAAAAAGCTGTTGTAATGTAGATGATATACAAAAACCAAACATCACGCTTCGATGTATTAACAATTAAACAAAAAAGGTTAAACATTTGCACACGATATCCACGAACACTTCTCAGAAGTTAAAAAAACGACAAAAAAACAAGTATAGTTTCATACAATGCCGATTTATTCGCGTGGATCGAAGGTTCCCAATTAATTGTTACAATTTGATGATGAAAATATCTTTTTTTTGATGCTGTAGCTGGCGGAGCGTGTTCGACGAAATAATTCTTCACTACTCCGTGAAGGTGATGAAATTATTGCTGAGGAGTTTTTGTCCCGAGCCATAGGTTACGTGAAGTCAGTGTGAATGATTCTCCACTTGGCGGCGCGTGACGATGCTGGTGCTATAAACCATTCTATTAATATTTCATAGGTTGTAATTATTTGTAATTCCTTCAAGTGGTAGGCTAAAAAATGGTATTCACTGTCCACTTGGAGTCTGATTGGTGGGCCTATTCTGCTATCGAGCATGGAGCTTAATCCAGAGCTCTACAAAATTCGACATCAACAGCTTATTCAAATTCTCTATTATGGCGTTATTATTATCTATTACATTATTATTATGTGTATGTATACTATTCTACCTTCTGGGTTCTTTTTCTTTATTGAAAATACGATATCATAATACAAGGATGGGTTTTCAATGTAACAGATACTTTAATGCAGCAGGGAGATGGAAATCCCAACACTTATAAATGCACGCAGCAATATATTAGCATAGAACCTTGACTTGCAATCGCTTTGCCTCTGTAGTCTTTGTTATTTTGCTCTTTTTTCCATTAAAATATTAATGTGTATTGTTATTATATTTTGTGGTTATCACAAGTCTTTACAAAAATTGATAATTAAACGTTATGATTGTTTATTTGTTATTTGTCTTTTTTTGTTGAATGAGACTGCTGAACAGAGCTTGAGTTTTGGGTTAGATTGTCTGGTTCGACAAGTGTTAGGTATTGAGCCTTTTGGTTTAGGGAAATTCCCGAAAGTTTTGTAAAGGTGCCTTGATGGATAAAGCATATAGTGTTTAGCGTAGTCTGTAATAATTATGATTAATAACATAACTACTGAAATGTGGGTGTTACATTTGACATAAGCACGTCCTCTGGCTAACCCTTTAGAGAAAACATTAATACACACCTTCTTTCAAGGAAAATATACACGAAATGCTAATTTTAGTATACAATCATTAACATATTCTTAGAATACAACAAAAAATGTAGAAGGTGAGGATTATCCTTGTTTTAAACTGTCAAACACCAAGCGGTCACCGGTGACCGCAACCTATTGTTCTATAATTGTGTCTACAAAACCGGTACTCGATGAGTTAAAGTTGTTTACAAATATGAAACCGTGTATAGAAATGCTAATACAAAGTAATTTTGAGCTTCCATTTTGAATACTTCGAAAATAACTGTTTTAAAATCATTGTCGGTACATCCTTGTACATGATTCATGTGTTCACTGTGTTTCGGGTTCAGTGGGTCACCGGCCGGGAATCGAACCGGTTCGAGCAGTACTCCACACCTACGTAGTGTTTGATGTTTCAATGTCAAGATGTGTACTGTACTTGCAATATGGTGTTTGATTCTCATGTTGTACAATATAGCCTTGCGAGCGTGAAATTATTTGAATTTGGGTTCCCGTATAGCACAATTCTTCTCATGGTCTAGGTAGGATTAATTTGTAGGGAGTCACTTTTTTAAATATACCTAAGACATCTTTCTTTTTTTTAAATAAAGTTATTTAACATTTCTGTATATCGAAGGTCAGAAGGTGTGTCTCTTGATGTCCATTTATCATTACACTAATCATAGGCAGTTAATTTAATTTCTATTACTACCATCTACTACTATAAATATATATATATTTTAATATCAGTAGTAAAATTCGTGTAGGAAACAATTTAGGTACTTATCTAATACTAATAACTGAGTTATCCAGTTCAGGAAATAAATCAAACAGAATTAAAGATCATAATAATATTATCAGTAGCAGCGCGACAGTCACCGCGTCGGCGTCGCGGTTCGCGGAATGCTGCTCATGAATATGAGCCTCGAGCATGGCTTGAAACTAGTCGAGATACTCTTCAAATAATGACGTGGGTAAGCCGAAAAATATATAATTAATTTAGTATGTCTCACGAAAGTTATAACACAAATATTCATAATTCTCAACATATTTTATGAAATTTATTTAATGTAGGTACAGTGTTCGTTCGATGGTTAAGTGGAGAGAAATAATGTACTTGTGGACTGTATAATACGCAATATAATAATTAACTAGACTGTTACAATAATGGTTATAAGAAATTGAATATAACTGTGGTTTAGAAGGCGCGAGCGCGGACGTGCGTCGTAGTGTCCAACAGCTGACTGGCGAGACGGCGGCCGTGCGGGGCAGGCGGTCGTCGCCGCGCACGCCGCCGTCTGTCGTCCCCTCCAGTGCGCAGCGGAGGCCATTGAGTGCATGACTCAACATCCTCCCCCCGTTGAAGAGTCTTCAACAGACACAGGTAGAGGACATATGGTGTTGAATGCTCGCCGAATGACACCCCTTCGTGTGCGGATGTCGGCGACTCTTGCGATGCCGTCTCTGCCAGGGAGCACCCGAGTGATGCGCCCTAGAAGCCAGAGTAGAGGTGGTAAGCCTTTGTCCTTGATGACAACGAGAGTCCCTTCTTTCAGCTCTCCCGAAGACCGCTGCCATTTCGTTCTCTCCTGCAGCCATAAAATGTACTCCTGAGAGAAACGATTCCAAAAATGCTGTTTGAGGCACTCGATGCGTCGAAACCGCTGGAGATTGGAGATGTTGGTACTCTCGATCTGTGGGTGAGGCAACATAACAAGTGAGCGTCCAATCAGGAAATGTGCTGGAGTTAAGGAAATAAGGTCTGAAGGGTCGTTGGAGAGTGGAGTTAAGGGCCTTGAGTTTAAGATCGCCTCCACCTGAATAAGACATGTTGCCATCTCTTCAAATGTTAAATTTGTTAAGCCTAGAACCCTCCTAAGGTGGTGTTTAGTGGATTTCACCGCGGACTCCCATAGTCCTCCAAAGTGAGGAGTGTATGCAGGGATAAATGAAAAGTTGATACCAGGATCAACCACATCGAACCGTAAGTCTTGTGAAAGTAAGTTAGCCAACTCATTGAAGGCACCGACAAACGTTGTACCGTTGTCGGAGAAAATATTACGAGGCTTTCCCCTTCGAGCAATAAAACGGTTCATGGCAGCCAGAAAAGCCTCCTTCGTGAGATCCGATACAAGTTCAAGGTGGACGGCTCTGGTAGCTAGACACACAAAAACACATATGAAACATTTAACAAGCCTACACCCTCGTCCTTTACGGTCAGCTATCATAATAGGTCCGGCGTAGTCGACGCCTGAATCTAAGAAAGGAAACTCCAGGTGCAAGCGTTGCTCGGGAAGGTTACCCATTACAGGCTGGATAGTGCTTGCCTTTATCCTGCAACATTTTACGCATTGATGTGTGACCTTCTTTGCCAAGTTCCTGCCCCCAAGAGGGTAGAAATGGTGGCGAATCGTGGCAAGTAAGAGTTGAGGTCCTGGATGCAAAAGACGTGAGTGGTACATATTGAATAGTAATTTGCAAACAATATGCGAACAGGACAGGAGAATAGGATGTTTTATGTTGTAATCGTAAAATGAATTACTTAACCTGCCTCCAACACGTATTAGGTTTGAGTCAGTATCAAGGAATGGAGATAGGGAAAGAAGCTTATTTTTAGCAGGTAATTGTTTGCCTGCTAAAAGCAAACTATACTCTTCGGAGAACGACTCCTGCTGAGATAATCTGCAAAGAAAATGCAAAGATGAATTTAGTTCTGTAGAAGTAAGAGCACCATAGGCAGATGACTGTCTTCTACATTTATTATAAAATCGTAACACGTATGCAATCATACGTTGTAGTGTGTAAAGATTGGATGAATGTTTAGGAAATAAAGAACAAATAAGAATTTCTGTTTTATTAGGAATATCAACATGGTAGGACGAAGCCGTTTCAGGAAGCTTCAAGTCATGATGAGTTGATGTAGGGAATTGAGGCCAAGAAGATGTGCCTTCAAGAAGATATTGGGGTCCTGACCACCACAACGAAGAGGATAGCAGTTTGTCCGCTCTGAGTCCACGCGAAGCGAGGTCTGCGGGGTTTAAAAAAGAAGGAACGTAGAGCCAAGGCCTTCCCGCAGTAGTTTCCTGAATCTCAGAAACTCTATGACGGACAAAAGTTTTCAGTTGCGTCGGTGATGCAGACAACCAGCCTAACACTATTGTGGAGTCACACCAGAAGTATATTTCGTCAAACTGTAATGTCAGTGACTGACGAGCCTTAACATAAAGGCGTGAGCCCAATAATGCTGCACAAAGTTCGAGGCGGGGAATGGTCATGGATTTGACTGGCGCAACTTTGCTTTTAGCCGTTAGAAGATGACTGTGTACCTTCCCACCTTTTGATTCACTGCGAATGTATACACATGCACCATAGGCCCTCTCAGAGGCGTCAGTGAAGACATGCAACTGTAACGAAGCCACTGATTCGCAGGAGACCCATCGTGGTATTTTGAATTGATTCAAAAGAGGTAGAGTATTTAAGAAGTCACTCCAGATATTTTGAAACTCTTCAGAAACGGGTTCATCCCAAGAGCAACCTTTAAGCCACAGACGCTGCATTAGTATTTTAGCTTCTACGATGCAAGGAACAACCAAGCCAATGGGGTCAAATATTTGGGAGATTGTTGATAAGATTTGACGTTTTGTAGTACTGGTGCTGGGAGTGACGCTGATTGAGAAGTAAAATGTATCTGAAGAGCAGCTCCAGTTTAGCCCTAGAGTCTTTGACGACTCATTTTCACTAAGAGTGACGAAATCAGAACTGACCTGATCCTCGCAAATGGCCTTTAGTACATCGCGTGAATTAGATTGCCACTTACGTAGATTGTACTTACCTGTTTTAAGAACAGCAATGACATTCCGACACCTGTCTACCGCTTCCCTAACAGACGAACTGCCTGATAAGTAATCGTCAACATAGAAGTCGTGCTCTATTGTAGAGCGCGTTGATGGATCATCACACTCTTTAGCAAGCTGCATGAGACACCTGGTTGCTAAGAATGGCGCAGAAGCAGTGCCATACGTCACTGTGTTTAAGGTGTATGTTTTTAAGGGATGAGTTGGTTCTGCTCTCCAAAGAATCTTTTGCAGAGGTTTGTGCATGTCGTTCACGCGAGTGACTCTATACATCTTTTCGATGTCTGCACTGACGACTATCATATGTTGACGAAACCTAAGCAAGATGGTTAATAAGTCATCTTGTAAAGGAGAACCAACCATTTGTATGTCATTAAACGACTTACCTGATGCAGTACGGGCCGAAGCGTCAAAGACAACCCTAAGCTTGGTTGTAGACTTTGATTCATTCAATACTCCATGATGAGGCAAGTAGTTAGAGTAAGAATACGTAGTGTTGAGGTGACTACACTCGGACATGTGGCCTAACTCTATATACTCTGTCATGAAGCTAACATAAAGTTGCTTTAAGTAGGGGTCCTTGGCCAAACGACGTTCAAGAGAAAGGAAACGACGCTTGGCCATTGAATATGAGTCACCTAACACGTCAGGTGATTCTTTAAGTGGGATAGTAACAACAAACCGTCCATCCGTATCGCGAAATGTGGTCTCTACGAAGATGTCTTCGCAGGAGCGCTCCTCGCATGTCTGTTTGTATTGTGGTTGGACTGAATCTAGCTCCCAGAAGCGATTCAGGCTCAGCCGTAAGTCATCTGTAAGAGTAACGAAGGAGAAACTGTGAGAGGATAATTTATTAGGTTGCTGTAAAACGCCCGTAACGAGCCAACCTAATTTTGAATCAACTAATGTAGGCATGTTTTTACCTAGCGGAATGCGTGTCGTGCCTATGATACCCCAAAATATTTCCGCTCCGACTAGGATGTCGATGCAAGACGGAGTATGAAAGTTAGGGTCAGCAAGGACTATATTGCTAGGTAAACGGATGTGATTCGTATTGATGAAGGTATTTGGAATTGATGAAGAAACCTTTGATATGACATGGCAGTTTAGATCTATCTCAGCTTCACTATGTCGTGACTTTAATAAAATTGTACAGCCATGTGTACAAGCCGAGGACTGATTGTTTATGCCTTTTACTTGAGATTTAATGGGATAAGTATGGATACGTAGCTTGCGGCAGAAGTCTTCAGATATGAAGTTCGCAGTGCTTCCGTTGTCCAGTAAGACCCTGGCATCGTGATGATTGCCCTCAGCATCTGACACTTTCACGAGCGCTGTGGACAGTAACACAACCCTTGATGTATTAAGGTGATTGGCAGACAGAACTATGTTTTGCATATTAGGAGACTCTTTGTCTGTGTGAAGCAAAGTATTGTGTTTTTCAGTACAATACCTACAATGACCTAATTTGCATTTTTGTGCGTAATGACCTGGCCGAAGACAATTAAGACATACGTTAGAAGTGTGAGCTTTCTTGATTCTGTCCTGAACTGGCAAGATTCTAAACTTGTTACATTGGAACAGGAAATGACTTTCTTTACAAATGGGACAAGATAAAGGTTTTGAGTTTGAAGATTCGTATGTTACTGCAAAGGATTTGGATTTATGAGTATTATTTACAATGCTTTCAGTTTTGTATTTAAACGGTTTAGACTCCTCGAGTGTCTCCAATAAGTCAGCTCTGCTACTAATAAAGTTTACAAACACGCCTAATGTTGGAGGGTCAGCTAAAGAATTTCTGTGCTCTTCCCACTCACGATTCGTCACTTGATCAAGCTTACTGGTCATAATGTAAATAATAAGAGTGTCCCAGTGCTGGACTGGCTGACCGAGAGTGGATAAGGCTCTTAAATTTTTATTTACTGTGTCAACTATGTGACGTAATGATTTGCTTGACTCCTTGTTGATACCATTCAGATTAAAAATGGCTTGAACATGGTTATTGACAAGCAGTCTTTTGTTGTCGTACCTAGAACAGAGCAACTCCCATGCAGCATCGTAATTATCTGACCCAAACTCTAAATTATCAATAATAAGAGAGGCGCTACCCTTCAAAGAAGCACGAAGGTAATGCAATTTATTGACTTTGTCTATGTCTTCATTTTTATGTATAATGGAAATAAATGTGTCCCTGAATTCTAACCAATCATGATAGCTGCCAGAGAACTTAGGTAGTTCAATTTTGGGTAAGCGAACTGATGAGTGTTTGTGTTTGTGCGAAGTATCAGATACCACCTCGGAAGCGGAGTCCCCTGTAAGATGCCCACGAGCACTGCCAATCAGCTGACGCGAAGAAGCAACTAAGGTATAATAAAGCTTCTCAAATTCCTCGCGTTCCGCATATTGCTCGCTGGGGTTGTCCACCGCTTCCTCCAGGTCCATCTGTAAAGTATCGTATTTTTCGTAAAGGTTTTCGAATATATGAAGCCGATGTTCAATTTCGATTAGCTGAATATCACTCAACTTTTCACAAGACTTGACTACATTTAGGTAGGAAGAGAATTGTGTAAGCTTAGCTTTAAGCGAAGCTCGCTTTTTGATAAGGCTTTTAATGTCAGCCATAATTGCTTAAGAAGCAGAAGAAGCGTGAAGGTAGATGAAGATAAAAAATATGAGGGTCTATTGAAAATTACGAGCAAAAAAGGCAAGATCTAAATTTTGCTATTAAATTTCATCAAGGCGTTTACGCGTTGAAAGTGCCTGGTCAAAATTCAACAGCAATATGTTGCGGAAATATTACTTGAGCTAGATGCAGAAGCGTAGTTTGCTATAAAAAAAATTTAAGGCCTTTAATTATGCATCAAAATTGCTTTGTATCCTAAAAAATTTACACATTAAAATAAAATAATTTGAATTATACAATGTATGTATATGAAAATGGACTACAATGGCACTAAAAGCTTGTTAACTTATAAAGCAATGAAATGAATGTTATCGTGATAAAGAGATGTAACAGTCTAAAATGAGGGTGGAAGAAAAAAATGATTTGAATGATTTGCAATAATAATATGCGATGAAAACTAATGAAATTTATCTATAGGAAATAAGGTTAATGATATTGATTATGAGAGGTATGATTGAGGAATAAATGGAACGATCTCACGGTTGTGTTGGCGCAAATCACTTATGTTGATTGTGACGAGGAGATTCTTCACGTTTCTCGATGCACGACGACAATCTCAAGGTATGTATTGCAACCGCTGAGCTGATGTGATTCCACTTGATGGCTTGTCCGTTGGCTTGAAGGCGGCTAAGACAGCTAAAGTGAAGCCGTGCCGATATTCACGACGAACCAATTGCAGACACGATGAATACCTCGAAGCAGGCACGATGAAAAATTCGATGCTGGCACGATGAAGACCGCAGAAAAAATTTGCTGCTGGATGACTTGCATAACCGTCGCCGATTTTGAATTTTTCTTTGTTCTATCGTCGGTTCAAATTTTAACGGTAGAAGGACCAAATGTTCGTTCGATGGTTAAGTGGAGAGAAATAATGTACTTGTGGACTGTATAATACGCAATATAATAATTAACTAGACTGTTACAATAATGGTTATAAGAAATTGAATATAACTGTGGTTTAGAAGGCGCGAGCGCGGACGTGCGTCGTAGTGTCCAACAGCTGACTGGCGAGACGGCGGCCGTGCGGGGCAGGCGGTCGTCGCCGCGCACGCCGCCGTCTGTCGTCCCCTCCAGTGCGCAGCGGAGGCCATTGAGTGCATGACTCAACATACAGGTAAACTATGTAGGTATATTTACATAATTATATTTTACATATGTGACGCAACAGTTAACATAGTGAAAATGATCACAAACACAACTCCATACATATTATTACATATAATTATGTATGTAATACAGGTAGTAGTAATTACAGCTGTAGACGGGTAGTTAACCTGTGACCTATGCGCGACGAGAGCCAGAGAGCTAACACTTTTACTTCCGTGAAATTGTAACATTGTCGCTTTTGTACGAAGATAATATTATATTTAGCAACCTGTTTAGCTTTATCTGCGACTTCGTCTGCATTTACACTTAACTACATTTACATTTAGTATACTAACAAATACTAACTACATTTAATATACTAGCAATCCTATGAGAACTGCTAGTATATTCTGTAAGTTTGAATTCGAAAGATCTAGGTGAAGTCGATCGTGGCCCGCGTTGTCATTGGTTGTGAGAATAATCTTGACCAATGACGGGCGAGAATGTGATCGAGCTCACTTCGAAAGTTCGAATAGACCTAGATGCACGGTTGGGATAAACATGAACTTTTATGAGCTGTTTTTCGGAACGGCAGAAATGGATTTCTTGGACATCAAGAACTTGGCAGTAAGTTATTTAAATAAGACTATATAAAATACTTTATGAATATTATTATGGATACTAAGAATCTTGAATTCTCTCTATCTTTTTGGTATTTTAGAAAATGAAGTCGTCGACAAATCATATAGGGCAAAAGACAAGGAACGTATCGTAACATAAAATATACCTCTATGTAGTGTTGGGAAAATGAATGTATTTTTAGATTTGATTGATTACCTTCTTGGTACGACTGTTGAGTGGAACAACATGCGTTCTATTTGTCACACGTAATTAACTTACGTAGGCGATAAAATCATCTCACTTTCTTTGTCTCAATTACTGCCGTGAAAGTTTTGGTGAAAATTGTTACACGAAAAAAGAAAATTCTCATTCAATTTCAGTGAAATGCACATAATTTTATCACCCTTTTCTCAATGAATATAAAATCTTTACAATTTACATGGTTTAATGAAAATATTTTACGTAAAGAACCGGGTATCCACAAAATAAATAATATTTGTATTCCTACAAGATTTTTCCTATATCGACAATTTACTTCATTGGTGACACATAACATAATATCAAACATTTTATCCCCGAAGAGGTAGGCGGAAGGGCATATTGCGGCACTTAATGCAACTGCACAATGTAACACCCACTTTTAACTATTTATGTTATGAGTCCCATGTACAGGGCACAATTCCAGACTCCGGGCTACTACTGAGATTTTTCTTAAAAACCCAGTAATACTTTGCCCGACCCGGGAATCGAACCCGGGACCCCTTGGCCGGCAGTCGCAATAGCGACCACTCGGCCAACGAGGCAGTCGTTCAGTGGTGAGACTTGTAAATATAATATCATAACGCCTAACCGATGCAACATTTATTGGACAGTGAAGTTCTAATAAAGGACTGTTAGATATATTTGTCTGCATAACTAGACCAAGCAAGAGAAGCTGTCTTCAATGTTTATCTAGCTATTCATTATCTATGACGATTCTTTTGTTCCTCTATGGGACAAGAGTGTGGAGAATTAAGAGGGAGAAAAGAAGACGATAAGAAGAAGAAGGGTGTCGATATAAAAATCTAACAAGTACACTGCTAACAAACTCACCTAAACTGCTTAAACAGTAGTTGTTGCGACTGCAACTTATTTTTAGCAATCTAATATAACAATACATAATAACAATATAGAACAAAATATAGTATCTATTGTGTATTATCACAGACAAAATACTCCATTACGTATTGCTAAATTTGTCATTGATGGCGTTTGCTATTCTTGTTAGTAATTGGTCGACTAAACACCTTGATACACTTTGTACAATAGCCCTGGGAACGAAACTTTTTGCTTACCTTTACCATAGAAAAAACGTCTTATCAACCATACCTTTGAATGCACTCTATTCTTTAAGTAGTAAAGTTTAAATTCACTTGAGTAATATTGCTCTGGTGACGTGGTTATAAATGATTGTCTTATTAAGAAAAAGGTATTTAGTATACTAATGAGATTACTTTATTAAATCTTTCAATTAGATGTTGTGTTAATGATAATGATTGTATAATCAAGGTTTTAATTTTATGTTCGCTTAAACGAAGTTATTAAGGTTTTTATAAAACCTTCAAGACAGACACGCATGGTGCAATTTTGACAGTATTATGCCCAAGTACTAAAGGATTCTATTATATGCCATGTGCCTATGTGACAAATGTAGTTCCTATCGTGAATTTCAAAAATAATTCTCTATTCGATTTGTAAACCGAACTCGAAAATCTTAATCAGACATATTCCATCTGATAACATCAGTCGAGGTTATTGACCTTTAAACACTCAAACACATCCCATTCTCAACTAATGCGCTTACTAACACTATCCCATAGACACACACACACACACACACACACACATACATATGCAACTATTTTCCATCTCAAAAGCAACAAGTAAGTCACACGTGTGTCAGTACATCACATCTTTGTACCTCAATATCATACAAGAGTGTCCTCAATATGATCCAAGTTATGATCCTCTACAGACTACTCTATAAGGTCCATTAGCCAATCGACCATTTACACTACATGTACCATTTGACCGTCTGTCACCGTTCTATAAATATCGGCTTTGTGCGCATACGCAGCGACTCCACATGACCTTTGTGTCAAATTCATTCAGTATTGTACTGACATGATCGCCTCGGCTTTTTACCTGTAGAGGTTTTCCTTTTTGAGGTTTGGAGATAACATGATGCCGTGTTTGGTATTTTATGTTGGGGGTAGACACATAATGTGATATTTAATTTTAGTTTAAATCATTATGTTAAACGTTTTCAAGTTCTAGAAGAGAGTCTAGGGCACAGTCAATTCCAGTCGTAATTTTGTATCACTGTATGTTAAATTAGGAATTATATTTGCAAAAGTTCAAAGACAAAACATTGAACATTATTTAAAAATGACATATTTAGTTGATTTTGTCATAGAATATAAAGAATGGAAAACAATGTACTACTTAAGAGATACTAATCCTAATTGAAAAAATAAATGAAAACTAAAAATAACTATTTGGGTTTTACATTTGAAAACCAATTCTACTAAAGACAATTTCACGAAACATTTAAAAAGAATCTCAATTCAATCACAATTTCTCCAAAACACGACCACGATATATTTACTTTACTAAACAATAACCAATAATAAAAAAGGTCCAAATCTTCGTTGATTACTTCAAAAGTCTGTGCTCCTAGTACACTTATAATGAAAGTGAAAAGGAGACAGTGGAGGCCTAATGACGTTTTCACTAAGTCTTTATGATCCGACAACATTATTGGGAAAGCTCGTTATATACAGTGATCACTGTCCATGTTTTGTAATGTAATATGCTGTAACTTTGTGTGGTAATGTTATACGTGAGCTGTAAGGAAACGTGCAGTTATAGAGTGCAAAAAATGTAGAGCAATGATCTTCTTAACTGTTATGCGATCCTGGTAGCTGCGGATAATAAAGAGTTGCTACTAAAGTCCAAATGTTGACCATGAACGGAATTTTTGTAATTTCTGAAGAGTAAGTAAAATGTGGAATTGTAAAAGATTTACCAATGTATGATAATAATTAAAATTTGTTTATTTGTGGGACTCAAAACATATCGCTCATAGTCTTTGAAAGGTTACTTTAGCTTACTGCTGCTTTGTAACGTAATATCCTCAATATATTAAATTGTCTGACATTTTGTTTTACAATATTATTTGCGTTAAATATAATGGAGTCTAAAAGGCCACGTATTAGGGTTTCCGATTTATTATTTTGTTGCTCAACTGCAGTCACCTATGCAATGACAACATCGTTTCATTCGCCGCTGGCACAAAGTAAATGAACACGGGTTTTTACAGAGGGCTAGTCAGCTAAGTATTGGTTTGCTTTCAAATACTGTCGCGTGTTATGATATCCTGGTAGCTCGGTGTAATAATGTTGCTGTCAAAGTTTGTTATTAAAATATAGTTTTGATTTGAAAATACAGGCTTCAGAAGCTATTTATTTACGTAATAATAATTCATACAACACAGCTGTCCAATTTACAGAGATAGACAAAGAAACTGCAAAAAATATTAATATAATTTCCCTCTAAACGTTGAAGATGTCGACACTACCGTAGCGAATAGCCGGAACAGCATTGTCAGGCGGTTGCTTCACCAGGTAACCTATGACCACGTTGAGTATTGTGTAACCGTAACTCTTAAAAAACTGACAATCAGTGGAGTAGTGTCCCAGAGACACAATGGTAAACAAAACATAATTTTAGCAACATTTTAATTTCATGGTCAGTTGGCAGAGAGCGGTGACCAAGGTTATACGCGTGGAACACCGTTAGTCATAACTTCGATGCT